TAGTATAATAAGTTCTCCTTCTAAATTAACTTTAAATTCAATTATAGACGACTAGAATAGATCTAGATATATAAGGAGTGGATACTTATACAATGTAATGCTGTTAATTATTTACTACTTTTGTTGTTTTTAATAAAATTTTGTATTTGTTACATTGTGGGCGTGGCATTGTCTGCAATTATGGATGGTCCTGGTGTATTTAAATGGATCACATTTCAAGAGATACTGTTTCTCTTCATATCTTGTTCAGTATTAGCGTTCCTATTAAGATCACAGGATAGCCTAGAGTTTAAACTAGTACTGAACGTTACTACTGAGGAAAGGGCGGCCAGAGAGAATTATGCCAATCAGAAATTCCCTCTTAGAAATGAAAAACTGTAAGGAAAATTTCTTAATGGTGTCATGACTTATTATTATTCTTTATTCAGTCCTTTACCTATTGTAACTGATTTGGAAAGTGATGGACAAACAGGTACTGCTATACTGTAATACTAAGAGTACATACGTAGATCTACATATACATTTTCGTGTAACTAGTAATACAGTCAATGTTTACAGAATCGGCCTTGTTCTCATTAAAATGGTTTTTGCCACAAATGAACTCTTACCTGTACCTGCATATATGCCTTGTACTCCCTTTTTACTTAGATATTTGTTCCTCTTTTCTCTCTCTCCCTCCATTACTAGATGTTATACTAGTCAGTGCTGATAAGGTACTCAATGTATACTCACGCCATTATACACCTTCTTATCTTGGACACCATGGGATCAAACACAGTAATAAGAATGTAAGAGAGAGAGAGGGAGGGAGAGAGAGAGTGGATTAATATATTGTGTTTGTTTGTAGGTGTCATTGTTGAAGATGTCACGTGTTGTTGCTATGACAACCGGTTTCCTACAACCGTACCAGTCAGTGGTACAAGTACGCAAGCAGGTTAGGAGAGAGAGAGAGGGAGAGAGGGGGGGAGAGAGAGAGGGGGAAATACATGTATCTACATGTACATGTTCTTGTGTATTTATTTTTTAAATTAAGGTAATAGCAGTCCTGTATTCTGATTGGACGCTCAGTTGCTATAATCACAACCTCAAACTGATGTGGAGTAAGAAACTGAATGAAAATGAAATCCCAATTTCCAGGTTACGACAATATTTTAATTAATGCACACTTTTAATTAATATTGTAATAACTGTCCCCTCCTCTTATAGTGAAGCTAGTTTGTTAGTGTCTGCCATTAGCATCAAGAAGAGTCCAGCTGGAGTTATACTAGTAGGAGGAAGAATTAATGGAAACTATGACAATAATAATAATAATGATAATATTGGAGGAGATAGTGATAAGAGAAGGTAAGGGAGGGAGAGAGAAATTGAATGTTGTACATATTTTATTATTTTCAATGTTTATTTGTGATAGGATGAGAAGAGGAGCAGAACAGGAAAAGATAGAGCATCAAAAAGTAAAAAATTTTGTACTTTTTATATTTATAATAGAATTTTAATTTGAACACATGTACATTTACTTTAAGTTTTAAATTTTAAATCTTATTAAATTACATGTATGATTATTATTATTATTATTATTATTATTATTATTATTATTATTATCATTATTTTCT